CTTCATAGTTTGATTGAACTTAACTGTAGGAGGCGCAGATCCAGAATTTGGTAAATAGGAGAGGAGGGGGGTTAGATGATGAGAGGACATCTGTCCTTGGTCCCCAGTGGGTCAAGGACAGTGTTAGGTGGAGCCTGGCATAAAAACCCATTGTAAAGTTCACAGAAATGGTAAAAAGGAACCTTATTAATTGTACCATGCTTATACCGACATCACCCAAACAGAGCTTTATGTTTTATCTTCAACTTTAGAGCAATGGTTTATAGGAAAGGAAATAAAGTTAGGTAAATTTCACCCAATTTAATTGGTGCAATAAAATGTTTTCTGTGATCAAAGGACCTTAATTAAAGGTTTGAATGGATTTTTTTTTCAGAAAAAATGGGTGTGGAATATTGTAACTATCAGTAAGATTGTTCTAATAAATTAAAACTACCGGTACACAGGTTTTAATTAGAATTAATTCTGATATATAACAAACAACCCATGCAATTTTCTGTAAAAATTGTAAGTGTCCATATTCTGAGAGTCCCACTGCACATACAGTTACCTGTCTGTCTTTGAGCCCCTTCTCACGCGATAGTCCTCAGGAGTAACCTCCCTTGGTATTCGGGCGGACACCACGGCCGCCTCCTTTGGTTTGACATACTGGGAGGGATTGTGATAAAGCTTTTTCCACAACACACTATTTTGCATTCTTTTTATAAGTTCACACTTTCCTTTTCATATTTTGATACAGAAAATTTACCTTAGTGACAACAGATGTATATCCATAATAGCTTTTTAAAGATGGACTTTAAATGCATGAATTGTAGACTCCTTGAATGAAAACTTTTGTTTTAATATTCAGTCAATATTATTGTTAAAATATTCATACAGGTAACATAGACCAGGACTGGTAGACTCCTTATTTTCCTTTGATATGTAAAATGATAAAATCACGAAATAATATCCTACACCTTCCACTAGATGGCACGCCTAATAAGAAATCATGACACACTCTTTACACCAAGTTCTGCCTCAACAAGGAATTCATCCAAAGAGAATTAGAAAAATGCTCACTTAAATTTTGTATCCAACTCACACATGAAAAATTTTGACAAAATGTGAATATATTTCTCTCAAACAACTAGACCTGATATGTTAACCAGTCTTTGATGCTGTAGAGACCCAACAACCTGCAGCTATGGGCACATTGATACAGGAAAATCATCTCAGATACTTTAAAGCACAAAAAAATCTCTGTCAATAAACATTGTTTTCATGATGGGGTTTTCAGGTGTGATTTCAGCCAATCAATGATGTTCCGTATCCGTTATCTAGCAAGCCCTCCCCTGGAATATTATAATCACCTAGCTTATTGACTTCATTTCAGCATCAAATGCGGAAACCTCTTATCCGCGATCGGAAAGGAATAAAAAGGTTTTGACCAAATAACAAGAAAGATAAGAGTTAACAAATTAATCCCCCACAGCCTAGTCAATATTTCTTTGAGGGTCCTAACACAAAAAATTTCAAAGGCATTATAGAGTATGTTTAAGGTCGTTGCCACAAATGGATTGATTGATAACAGTGTGTTGTACATCACTACTGAAGTGTTATTTTAAAATCAATTACTGTCACAGGCAATATTATGCAAAGCTTATTCCTGTGAAAAATGTCATGACAGGAATTGCATTTGGCTTGTTTACTGTTGTTGTTAGAAACGGAAAAGGGAAAAAAAATCCATACTGGAAATTTATTTGTACATCGACTTATACTGGAAAATGATGTTATTGTTAAAAATATACTAGCCCTGGTACCTTCAAGTCAAATGTTTAAAGGTAAAACAGATACTAGATGGTATATTGCTTTCTTTTCTCTTTATTCATACAGTTGGATGACTGTCATTTAATTGTGACCACTACTATACATGTATCCCTGTGTTAGATACTTTATCCCATTGATTTTTCCAACTTTGTATGATTGTTTATAAATGATTAAATTCAATGTCATTCAGATTAAAACTTCATTATGTATATCAATGCCCACTGTCCTTTCTTTTGTTCCAGGTGCAGCAAATGAAGCTTTTGATATGAGGTACTATATGTACTACAAACACATGAACCCCCCAACCCCCACCTTCAGATATTTTGACATTGTATATTTCAGACAATATGGGTTACTTGCTGGACATACCCCCCCCCCCTTTCCCATCAGTCTTTTCAGGTCATTTCCTTGTACATGTTTCTATGTCATCAAAATGTAAAATTATGTGATTTAAGGAATGATCTCATATTAATTAAAGACGTTAATGGAATAAATCCATTTTGAAATCAAAATTTACAGTAAAGTAATTATATTAAGCATGCATGATATTTGGCGAACATTGAGTTTTGAGCAAGAACTGTATTCGGTAATAATCAATATTTGCCCCCCAAATCAAACTTTGAGGGAGAAATATTTATTTATGTTCTTAAACAGGGGGATATATGCTGACTTCAAAGCACTGAATATTTTCATAAGCAATGACATCATATGTTTGAAATGACGTCACGAACATGACGTAAATTTAAATTTTCCATGATTTCTACAGAAAAATGTATATATTACGTCGATAATTTGAGTAAAAGTCACCAAGCGCAGGTCTGATCAGGCTCAAAATTTTGATATAATGTGAAGAATGATAATATCAATGAAATATATAAATATTGTTTCTGAGCAAACTTGCGCTCTATAATTTTTAAAGCTAAAATTGTTTAAATTTTGTCCATTTAGTCCTCTTTCTAAAAAATGATACAAAAACGAACAAGTTTGTGACGTCATAAAAACAAAAATTGTCAATAAACTACTTTGAAACTATAATATGTTCTGTTAATTTATATTTCTCAAAAAATTTATAGAATTCAGCACATTTCAAGATTTTTTCAAAATTTGACTTTTTGGGGGCAAAGATATGCAATATACCACATACAGTTCTTAGTGTGGATTTGATTAAGCACATTTCTTAATGTTCTTATTGAATGTCTATTTGTGCAAGACATTTAGCTGTACTTGAATTAGCAGATCTTGCTTTTTACTAAAGGCACTAAAAAGAATGCACAGTCAAATGTAATATGTTTACAGTATTTAAACTTACACTTTTTCCCATGGTTTACATCTTAATTAATTGAATTATGTAAAAAATATGTAGCATGTTTTTTTTTCCCAAATTTTTCATACTTTTTTTTCAATTTGTAAGAGTGATTTCAAATTTATACTGTACGTATTTCACATTCAATTCAACTTAAAGAAGCACAGACCCTGGATCAATCATCATATAATGGAGATCAATCAACATTCTGGATTTCATGGGTCATATAAATTCTTAGCCATAAACTGTCTTCCAAAAAAAACTACATTTTTTATCTGTCTCATCTGATTGTATCATTTTATTGAATCTCCTTAACATAATTAAATGACTGACACACAAAATTTCTATCCAACTATTAAAAACTGGTTGCCTTATAATGAACATTTATTATATATTTATACAGATGTTTTCCCTATCCCAAATTAAAAATCATAATTTCTACAGTATTTTAAGTGCAATCTCTTGAATTTTTGAAATCTAAGGTTTATTTTCAATAACTTTATTGATCAAATATAAATAAAGGGCCAATGAAGTACACTGTATTTGTAGAAATATTTTGTATATTTAGTCAAGAGAGAAAACTCTTTGACAGCTTAATATGATTTTTTTAAAATTATAGATAAATGCAATTTTATATCATTTCATGATGATATAACAATGGCCATCCTATTAATTATAATATCAAATGCAGTATAAAAATCATTTTGCAGAATCTGCACATGTATCATCATTATGACATTATTTTCTTAAAATTCAATCAACATCAGACAAAAACAAGATCAAAACACTCCCTGCTTCCTATTTGCAGATACAAGCTCTCTGGTTTAAAATAAAATGTTTGATGAGAAGTAAGCTATAGTGCCACCTAATGAATAAAGTGTATACATGTTTATTGCATTAAAAGAACTGCACTCTTTCTTAATTTATATTTCAACATATTACACTACCAACTCCAGATATATTTACTACAGGTTATAAAACCATGTGTTCCTAATTTAACATATAAATTCATTTGTTTTAACATGTTTAATAGCTATCTTTGACCCAAATTTGAGACCATTGAAAATTTCAACTATTTATACTGCCATTTACTGATTTAAGGGTGTATGAATAAATCAATCAATCCAGTGTGCTTCATGCTGAAGCCAACTAGACAAGAATGTAGATAGAGATCTAATCTTTTGTGCAGTGGAGGTAAATATATTGAGAAGTAAACCCAAAAGCAGGTGCAGCTTTTGTGTACAATAAATATAAAGATTATTTTTATGTCATGGCACTGAATCTCATCAGCATGTCAACACTTTAAATCACTTTTATGTTTGGACAGCTACAATTTTACAACTATCTGCAACTTCCTTGCTAAGTTAGTAAGCAATCTGTGCATACTACCATTAAAAATCAAATATGTATTAATTCAAACAGATTAAACTGGCTATGACTGCAACTCTACAACTTTAATCTTTATGTTTATTCTCATCTATAAAACATTTGACAATAGTATATCGTCTGAATTAGTGCTAAAGCAAAAAGCAGTCACATAAATCAAATTTTTAAACATGCTATTATGTTTTGATTTCTTAAAGAATCAAAGAGGAAAACGCATATTTACTGAACATCTCTCCACAAATATGGATAGAAACTTCCATAAGTACTGTAAACAACACAAAAAATTCCTTCCTTTCATCTCATTTTTAGAAAGTATAAAGTAATTGATGTGGTAAACGTTAAATAAAGAATACACATTATATTCATTTTAATTATCCTGCTACAATTATGCTTTGCAAGCGAAAATAATCGGTGTAAAAACACTTTACCTGTCGTTCCAGACCTGTTCCGCCATGTTGTTTATGGGTAACGAAGGAGCCGTGTTATCTATCGCGCATTTTGATTGGCCAATAAACCGGAAGCACGTTTTCAGAAATGGCTGACAATAACAAGGTGGACCATGTGGATGATGAAATGTTTGATGAAGACGACGAAATGGAAGATATCGAAGAGGAAGGGGAGGATGAAGAAGGTGAAGAAATGGGTGAAGAATCAGGGGAACCTAAAGTTTATCTTCCTGGAGACCCGATAGCCGAAGGGGAGGAGTTGGTGTTCGATGAATCTGCCTATGTTATGTATCATCAAGCTCAAACTGGTAATGTTTATAAATTTTAAAGCGATTATGAAAGTAGAGAGTCTAATATATATACAACTAAGTATTGATGTTTAAGTTTTATGCATATGTTTCATGCATACGTATCACGCAATGTGTGTGCATAATCGTTAAAGCCTAACTTAGGAAAATCACTATATTTAGCTATATAGCTTAATTTACCTATATAGCTTTATTTACCTATATAATATATCTTTATTAAGCTATTTTAGAATAAGATTCTGTTTTATTAAAAGCAGACAAAAAGTCGCATGAAAATTATGGCTGATATTTTTTTAAAGGTTTGCAATTGATAAAAAGAACCTAGGGCATAGATAACAAGAGGCCCGTGGGCCACATCGCTCACCTGAGCACTGTGGCTAGGAAAAAGTAGAAATTGGTTTATTATTGAAAAGTTTAAATCCAAAAGTAAACCTTTGAACTGTTATGGTTTTGCTATTCATGAGAAGATGATTTTTAAAGAATTTTCCTATATATTTCTATGTAAAACTTTGGTCAGCCATTGTGGCCCCGCCCTACCCCCGGGGGTCATGATTTGAACAAGCTTGAATCACAACTACCTGAGGATGCTTCCATATAAATATGATCAATTATGGCTTTGTTATTCTTGAGAAGAAGATTTTTAAGAATGTTCCTATATCATGTACATATATTTCTATGTAAAACTTTGGTCGGCCATTGTGGCCCCGCCCTTCCCCCAGGGGTCATGATTTGAAAAAACTTGAATCGCCACTACCTGAGGATGCTTCCATATAAATATGATCAATTATGGCATTGTTATTCTTGAGAAGAAGATTTTTAAAGAATATTCCTATATAATGTAAAACTTTTGCCATTGTGGCCCCGTAAATGATTTGAACAAAGAATTGACACTATTATATTCCATATAAATATGATCAATCATGGCTTTGTTATTTTTGAGAAGAAGATTTTTAAAGAATTTTCCTATATATTTCTATGTAAAACTTTGGTCGGCCATTGTGGCCCCGCCCTACCCCCGGGGGTCATGATTTGAACAAACTTGAATCTACACTACCTGAGGATGTGTCCCCATAAGTTTCATCTTTCCTGGCACAGTGGTTCTTGAGAAGAAGATTTTTAAAACATACCACCAAATTTTCATTAATTCCCAATTATCTCCCCTTGGATGAGGGCATGGCCCTTCATTTGAATAACCTTGAATCCTCTTTACCTAAGGATGCTTTGTGGCAAGTTTGGTTGAAATTGTTTGATGAAGAAGTCAAAAATGTGAAAAGTTTACAGACAGACGGACAGACAGACAGACAGACGGACGCCGGACAAAATGTGATCAGAAAAGCTCACTTGAGCCTTCGGCTCAGGTGAGCTAATAAAAACATTGCCTCTTTTAAACACTTTTTAGCCCAAAAATGCATCTCTATTGTTTGGATAGCTGTCCCTCACTGGAAGTGCGATGAGGCATGACTAAGTGTGATTGCCTTGCATTGTGCTGAATTATTAGCAATCAATTATCTTGTTGACCAAAACTGCTTTTCTTTGTTAAAGTAGCTGCTTAATCGCAGATGAACTGTTATACATAGCCCCAAAACTTTTAGAAAAGGAGAAAATGTTTACCCCCCGCAAAATTTTAAAGCTGTCTGTGCAATCGTGTATATCTTTCTTACAGAGGGACATTAGAATCTACTACTCCACATATATATACAACCCAAGGTATTCGGGGAAGTTCAAGGTCACTGGAAGAAAAATTTCATAAGTTCGTGTCCGGTCCATATCTTTGCTTATGTTTAGGTTCTCATTTCACACAAAGATTGCCCATGACCCAAGGGTGTGTCATGACCTTGACCCAATGTCATTTGAGAAAGTTCAAGGTCACTGGAAGTGTTTAATACATATCTTTTATAGATAAACTTGGTAGGTTCTCATTTTACACAAAGATGCCCATAACCCAAGGATGTGTCTATATACCTTGACCCAAGGTCATTTGGGAAATATAAGGTCACTGGAAGAAAATTATTTATATTCCCTGTCCAGCATATTTTTTTATAGATAAACTTGGTAGGTTCTCATTTTACACAAAGATTGCCCATTAAAAGTGTGTCATGACCTTGACCCAAGGTCATTTGGGAAAGTTCAAGGTCACTGGAAGAAAATTATTTATATTCCCTGTCCGGGCCATATTTTTTTTAAAAACTTGGTAGGTTCTCATTTCACACAAAGATTGCCCATGACCCAAGGGTGTGTCATGACCTTGACCCAAGGTCATTTGGAGAAAAGGTCACTGGTAGAAAAATTTGCCTCTTTCCATATCTTTTTATGCATAAACTTGGTAGGTTCTCATTTCTTGCCCATGACCCAAGGGTGTGTCATGACCTTGACCCAAGGTCATTTGGGGAAGTTCAAGGTCACTGGTAGAAAAATTTCAGAATTTGTGTCCGGTCCAGTGTCTTTCTTATGCATAAACTTGGTAGGTTCTCATTTCACACAAAGATTGCCCATGACCCAAGGGTGTGTCATGACCTTGACCCAAGGTCATTTGGGGAAGTTCAAGGTGACTGGTGTCTGGTCCATATCTTTCTTATGGATAAACTTGGTAGGTTCTCATTTCACTGAAAGATTGCCCATGACCCAAGGGTGTGTCATGACCTTGACCCAGGTTATTTGGGGAAGTTCAAGGTCACTGGAATAAGAATTTCATTATTTGTTTTTGATACATATCTTTATTATGGAAAAACTGACTTCTGAAAAACCCAGCGGGGGGAGTTTGGACAGTTCTAGTTAAAAGTGGGTTTTTGGTGAATTGTTTTCAGTCCATTTCAAAGTTGAAAACTTGCCTCATTATGCGACTTTTTTGTCTGCTTTTCATAAAACAGAAATTTACTCGGAAATAGCTAAATAAAGCTATTTTATATAGGTAAATAAAGCTATATAGGTAGATTTAGCTATATAGCTAAATATAGTGATTTTCCTAGACCTGGTAACTAGCAAAGTACTTTCATTGGTTTTATACCCATGATACTGTTGAACAGAAACATATATACAAAATTTAGACTGCCTTTATAAAAAAAAAATAATTTATATAATTATATGCATCTTGTCTTAATCAATATATGAATCTTGTCTTTTATATAAAATTATATACAATGTAATTAGTAATTGCTGAAATACTATTTTGCATGTTCATGTTTTAGGGGCACCCTGCTTGAGTTTTGACATTCTACCAGACACACTTGGTGACAAGAGAGAGGAATTTCCACTTACCTGTTATGGAGTTTGTGGAACACAAAGTGCAAAGGGACAGCAAAATCATGTCATTGTTTTAAAAATGAGTAACTTAAATCGTACCTCAAAACCCAAATCTGATGAAAATGAGGAGGAGAGCGATTCTGAGAGTGATGAGGATGAGGACAGCAAACCCGAGTTAGACACAGCTCTAGTTAAACACACAGGATGTATCAACAGAATCCGGGTATGTTAGGTCAAATCTAAAATGAGAGAAAAAAACACTATATTCAATAGCTATAAAAATTGAACAATATGTGGTGAGATTCCTATGTGCCTTTATGAATATTGTGTAATTTTTTTAAAAATTATTTATTGTTGCACATTGTTCAAGATCTCAATTTTCTTGGGTATCTTCAACAAAGAAAGTATACAACATTAATGAATATTGCTGTAAAATTACATTTGAGACTTTCTCTGATGTTATTTTGTCCGAAGAACCTCAAAATTCTGATCAATCCATTAAAATTGAGAAAGTTAATTTATTCTCTCATTAAGGCTACAAGCTTAGGAGATAAGAAAATAGCAGCAACATGGTCTGAGAAAGGGAAGGTACACATCTGGGATCTGACACGCCCCCTGAATGCCGTGAACGACTCCAACATCATGTCCACTTATGTTAGGAATGAGGAGTCACCTCCACCAATATTCACATTTAAAGGACATCAAGTGGAGGGATTTGCTCTAGACTGGTCACCAACAACACCAGGTAAAGCATTAATTATAAGGTTCCTTGAAAAACATTGAACTATTCATGTTATTAACATTCACAACCATCTAGTTTTAAAATGTATTAAGTAAACTTTTACCTAAATCCTTATAAATTTCAGATTTACAAACACTTCTTTTACTGCTCAAAGAGTAGGTGCAAAATGTACATGTATGTCAATCATTTTGAAGGCAATGTTTCTAGATTTCTTATAGATGTTTAACAGATCTTTAAAAAATCTTACTACTGTACTATATTGTTTATTAAATTAACAAGACATGGCTCTTTTGACTAGGTCGTCTGGCAACTGGAGACTGCAACAAAAATATTCATCTCTGGACGTTGAAGGATGGAGGAACCTGGCATGTTGACCAGCGTCCATACAATGCCCACACTTCCTCTGTAGAGGACATACAGTGGTCACCAAATGAAGCCAATGTAAATATCAAAAAGAGCTAGGGTTATTTTATGCATATCAGGCCCCGTACAATGATCAGCTAATTGACTAACACTCGATGTCACATTTCAGACACGATATATAAAGTAGAGACTTAGGTTCTCATCAATTATTACCCTTTAGCATGATAAGTTTGGTGTGTTAAATATTCTGAAACCTCTGCATGTTCTTGTTAAAATTTTATAAAACTGATTTGCCATAGAATAGCGGTAGTGTATATGAGTGTTTGCAATGTACATTGTATTTTAAACAATTTTCTAGGTGTTTGCCTCCTGTTCTGTGGATAGAACTATCAGGATTTGGGACATGCGGGCTGCCCCATCTAAGGCTTGTATGATCACGGCCACAGAGGCCCACGACAGGGATATCAATGTCATTCACTGGAACAGGAAGGACCCCTTCATAGCCTCGGGGGGAGACGATGGGGTCATCAAGATCTGGGATCTCAGGCAGTTCCAGGTCAGTCACTAAGTACTCGGTAACAATAAACAAAGGAGATGGGTGAACATGACGAGAGATAAGCCCATAGCGCGACAAACATGATGGTGAAAAATTAAATCTCAATTTTATCAAAATTTTCCTTAATAATTCATCTAACATTAAAGTATATTTTATGTAAAATCTCGACAACTTGCACAAATCTCATGAAAATTGAAGTTATTTGCCTATGAAATATTATACACACACGAAAGAGGACAAAACGAGTCATTTTTTCACACTATAACACTATTTTTCGTTATGAGTGGGTCTTTTCTCCATTTTTTTGAAAGGTAATCCTCAAAGTTTGCATTAAAACATATATATTTTGGTTTCCAAAATTATGGAGCAATGACCCACTATACTTTAAAAATATAAGTTTATGACATAACTTTTGTATCTTTTCGAGAAATACTTGAAGTCCCTTAAGTCAATGGTCATATCACAAACAAGATTTGAATGCCACATTTCATCAGGACTTGTGTAGCGTAGTGGTTAGCGTGCTAGTCTCAATAGAGAATGCATCTCAGGATTTTTATTACCAGGGTTCGAACCCAATGGATACCACATTAATTTTTTTTTTTATATAAAAGAATAAATGTTAACGAAAAATTTTCCTCAAAACTTTTTGTTTCTGATGATTTCATTAAAATCAATAATGAGAACTTTACTCTAAATACTAAATTCACAATTTGAATATGATTTTTATATATCTGAAGCTATTGGGCTTTCTGCACGCTAAGTTCACCCATCTCCTTAATCTCGTTCTCTTGAACTCAGACTGAGAGAAGTCCTAGGATTCAATAAGATATAAAGGGTAAAATAAGGATAGGTGGTTTGGACTTCCAAATTATTTTAACATATCCATGGTTCTTGAGATATCAGTGTTTGAGAGGCCAAAGTAAAACTATATATTAACAAAAATTCAGAGCAATTAAAATTCTATAAATCTATTTTACAGAAAGGAAAACCGGCAGCCACCTTTAAGCACCACACGGCTCCCATTACCTCTATTGAGTGGAATCCTAATGACAATTCTGTGTTTGCGGCCTCCGGCTCAGATGATCAGATCTCCATCTGGGACTTAGCTGTGGAAAAAGACAATAGTGAACCCAGCTCTAATAGTGGGGAGGATCCAAATGTTCCTCCTCAGTTACTATTTATACACCAGGGACAGACTGACATTAAGGAGCTTCACTGGCACCCCCAGTTACCGGGGGTTGTTATCAGCACCGCTCACAGTGGATTCAATGTGTTTAGAACTATCAGTGTCTGAAAACTCAATACTAGCTCTGCTTCACTCTGAAAGCTTCATCTTTGTTGTCCATTGTTAAGTTTTGTCAATTCTTTTTTAAAAGCAAGTTCCCTTTTATCATAATTTTGAAAATGTGCCATTGTTCTACTCTTAGTCAAATAATTTTTCTTGTAGATGGCTAAATTCTGAACAGAAAAGAACAAAGAATATTAAACCAGTATGTTTCATGAACATGGTATAATTTGTGTGCAACGTTTTAATGATGCCTAGATGAAAGCATTTACATATGCATGTAGAATTATATGTATATAATAGGGATACCGAAGAAGACAAACTTTTAGCAACACCTTATTTTTGCAAATTAAATGTACATACCTGGTACATGTACTTGGTATTTATTAGCCAAATAAAGTTTTTGAAATTGTTGTATGTAATCTATAATTACACAAATAATTATACAAAATTAATATACACAAGAATGAAATTTTTGCAAGCAGCAGATTTTGCAAAAATTCAAGTTCCCATGAAGTATTAATAGATTTACGGTATCAATCAAAGTATTACTTGGGCCATGTTTTTATTACTTTGTAAAAATAATAAAAATTTTACGATGTGATTTACATTCAGATATACTTTGGTAATGAATGACTTCATTTAATGTAAGGCTAAACAGCAATAAATCTCTCATGTTCAATTCACCACTGTATATTAAGAGCACTGGCTATCTTCTCTACTCCATGATATTGTGTGTGAAGCATGGCTCTAGCTTTGTCCGAGTCCATTCCACCTAACCAGTCATCATAGATTTCTCTCACTCCGTTCCACAAGTCAGGTTGTACACACGGCACAGAGTTATAACTCTCCTTCACTTTCTCTAACAGTTCCGCATTAGTCTGACCCTCAGCGGGCCGGATCTGACCCCCGCCATTTACACATCCTGAGGGACAGGCCATGATCTCCACAAAGTCATAGGTCATTTTGCCTCGCTTTATTTTCTGGACAATGTTTTGGATGTTCCTGAAGCCATACGCGAGAGCCATTCTGAGAGGTTTCTTACCCTCAATCTCGACAATAACTTCCTGAAAATCCTGATTCCTGCAGAAAAAAGAAACATTGCAATAAAAAGATGAATAAATAAAGCATTTTCGTAACGAAATTTCAAAAACACACTGTGTCTTTTCTTTTTATCAACATGAGTTTTTTTTTCTGTGTGTCTGTTATTACATGTAAGTAATATGAAGTAACATGGAAGTACATGTATAGTAAACTTTTTCTTCCAGCTGCAGAAAGCTCACCTTTAATAGTCCTTGATTCTGGTTTAATTACAATTCCTAGAAATTTTATGTATGTATAGAAAAGGAAACATGCAGTTTTATATATAGTTTGGTATAATCTCTGCCAGTACTCTGTACACTTACCTTAGTGTTTTGTACTGGAGGGCCTCCACTGAGGTTCTTTACACTTACCTGAGTGTTTTGTACAGGAGGGCCTCCACTGAGGTTCTTTACACTTACCTGAGTGTTTTGTACTGGAGGGCCTCCACTGAGGTTCTTTACACTTACCTGAGTGTTTTGTACTGGAGGGCCTCCACTGAGGTTCCGTGGATCTGAGACACAGCGTACCTCATCACATGTTCCAGATAACCCCCAGATCCTCCCCCTATATGACTCACCAAGCCTCCATCTGGACTCGCTAATCCAGTCATTCTGAAATTCAAAGGAATGGAAAATTATCATATCAGTTTTCTTAGCTTCTGGTGTTTTTTTTTTTAAATATGCTTGTGCTATAAAGTTCTTAAATTGATACATTATACATGTATAAGATATACACCAGTAATTAATTTAACAAAGCATATCAATATCATAGTTTTGATTTCCAAAAATAAAATTAATGCTGGAAGAAACTTGATCATTTTAATGCAAAAAAAACAAAAACAAAAAAAAACACAGGAGTGCATCGTTTTCCACCGAGTGTCATTTTTTCATGGGACTATAATTTATTAGCCAGTCAAATGATACTATACATTATCCTCATTATGTATTGTCCTTGTTTAATTAAGTTAGCGTCAATTTCCTGTAAGTGTTGACTTTCCTACACAATGATCATGAATTATTGATGAATGTGGAGAAATGAAATACATGTATATTAATTTTCAGCCATATCAAAAAAACAGAAAATTCAGTTTTGAAATACAACCCAATATTGCAATCTGATATCACTATCATGAATTTTTCATCCGATTAAGATCAATTAAATGAATCATGGCAATTTCGGAAAAAAATGAGTATAAAGAACACGAGACATTTTTTTTTTTTTTTTATTATTGATGTGATTTTATTATTTATGTGTATTTCATCAATTAAAGCCTACTAATTGCTGTGGATCAGACCTGCTAACAATGAATTATTCAGGAAGTATGGAGTACATTGACTTGGGTTTTTAGCTCACCTGAGCCAAAGGCTCAAGTGAGCTTTTCTGATCACATTTTGTCCGTCGTCCGTCCGTCCGTCTAGCTGTCCGTCTGTCTGTCCGTCTGTAAACTTTTCACATTTTCGACTTCTCAAGAACCACTGGGCCAATTTTGACCAAACTTGGTACAAAGCATCCTTGGGTAAAGGGGAATTTAAATTGTTAAAATGAAGGGACATATCCCCTCGCAAGGGGAGATAATCAAGTTTTAAAAGACAAAAATAGGGTGGGGTCATTAAAAAATCTTCTTCTCAAGAACCACTGGGCCAGTAAAGCTGAAACTTATGTGGAAGCATCCTGGGGTAGTGTAGATTCTAAATTGTTCAAATCATGACCCCCAGGGGAAGGGCGGGGCCACAATGGGGAATCAAAGTTTTATATAGAAATATATAGGAAAAATCTTTGAAAATCTTCTTCTCAAGAACCACTGGGCCAGAAAAGCTGAAACTTATGTGGAAGCATCCTGGTATAAAGTAGATTCTAAATTGTTCAAATAATGACCCCCGGGGGATGGGTGGGGCCACAATGGGGAATCAAAGTTTTATACAGAAATATATAGGAAAAATCTTTGAAAATCTTCTTCTCAAGAACCACTGGGCCAGAAAAGCTGAAACTTATGTGGAAGCATCCTGGTATAGTGTAGATTCTAAATTGTTCAAATCATGACCCCCAGGGGAAGGGCGGGGCCACAATGGGGTATCAAAGTTTTACATAGAAATATATAGGAAAAATCTTTGAAAATCTTCTTCTCAAGAACCACTGGGCCAGTAAAGCTGAAACTTATGTGGAAGCATCCTGGTATAATGTAGATTCTAAATGTTCAAATAATGACACCCGGGGGAAGGGCGGGGCCACAATGGGGAATAAAAGTTTTATATAGAAATATATCGGAAAAATCTTTGAAAATTTTCTTCTCAAGAACCACTGGGCCAGAAAAAGTGAAGCTTATGTGGAAGCATTCTGGGGTAGTGTAAATTCTAAATTGTAGGAATCATGACCCCCGGGGGAAGGGCGGGGCCATTATAGGGAATCAAAGTTTTACATAGAAATATATAGGAAAAATCTTTGAAAATCTTCCTCTCAGGAACCACTGGGCCAAAAAAGCTGAAACATGTGCCCATAGAAGGATCATGGGGTAGTGTAGATTTCAAAATGTCTAAATTATGATCAGTGGGGTAGGGTGGGGATGCATTATGTATAACAAGGGTGAAATCTGATAAAGAACAGAATGGTCAAAGCTTCTCAGGTGAGCGATGTGGCCCATGGGCCTCTTGTTTTTTAACACACATCTCCAAAACAGTTTGGACGAGGTTTTTATATGTGTAATGCACCCCCCCCCAAGAAAACTGATTAATGAGCCAAATTCATTAGAAGTAAACACAACTAGAAAACTGACCAGTCAGCAAGGGCCCCGCCATGGGTTAGAATTAAAAGGGTGCAGCTTACAGAATGATTAATAAATGTATGAAGAATAAGCAACAGCAACTGTATTCTTAAAATTTCAAGATAATTCCTGAATATTCAAAAACCTGAAAATAATATCCTTGTATTTACATTAGGCAGTAAAGAACAAGTTAACAATGAATGTATATTTAAACAATTATGAAGCTTGTGTTATATAAAATGCCAGCCTTCAATGAATGCAAATATCATGAAGGCTTGACCTTAACTTCAAACAAACAGCAGTTGCAGACAAAGGTTTTCATTAATCTTAAAGTGACAGATAAAGAAAAGCCTACAAAATTTTCTGCAGCAGGCTAGATAATTAATCCCAAGGGATTAATTGTACCTCTCTCATCATTTTCTTCTAAATTTACAATCAGAATTTTTTCAGTATTAATGATAGAAGGGGGTTTTTTATACAACTACATTAAAAATTAATAATATTCTTGAATTAATATATTTTAAAAAAAAGTGAAAAAAGTGAAAAAAAGTAAATCAAAAAATCTTCTTTCATCTATTTCTTTTTTTTAGAATTCAATGAAATCATAACTATCAAACAAAAATAAATAATAAAAATTTATATTTAAATACACATTTCAGAGTGTTCATAGCATTCCAAATTGATTTAACTTCAAAACAAACTTCATTTGCAGACAGAGGTGGTAATTAATCTCAATGTGACAGATAAAGATAATGCTCTGGATTTTCTTCAGGAGGAAAGCTAATTAATCCCAAGGGACTCCTAGCAGCATTCAGTTTTACAATGGGAACATCTTCAGCAGTTATCTCTCTTTGCCAATGCATTCTTATATAAAGTTAAGGAATCTACCCCACCACCCCAGCTCCAAACCATGAGACATAGAGAACCAAACTTAGCATCAAAATATGTATTTCTGCCTACTGAACTACCGTACCAAATTTGTACTTGATTGGGCAACCATAAAAAAAGTTGCCCGTCATTCTTATGCATAGTTAAGGAATCTACCCCACCACCCCAGCTCCAAACCATGGGACATAGAGAACCAAACTTCGCATCAAAATATGTATTTCTGCCTACTGAACTACCATACCAAATTTGAACTTGATTGGGCAACCATAAAAAAAGTTATTAGAAAAAAACAGAAAATTTGTGGATGGAAGAGTGACAGACGGACAGACAGCTAGACAGACGGACGGACAGAGTGATTACTATAGGGCACCCGCAAATCCTTGCGGGGCCCTAATAAAAAAGATGTGTTTGTGAAACACCAAGCCCCTGATGGTAAAACAATTCCAGAGTGGGACGTTGACTGAAGTGGTATACACTTACCCTTGATAGAGTAATAGTTATAGGCTAGTTTAAAGTTGACAACAGACAGACAGGACAAAGACAAAATATACCTCCAGGATCTTTCAATCCAGGGCATAAAATAAAATTCATAATTTTTGATGGGTTGAAATACATGGAAGTGTTAGGTAAAAGGAGCCCCTGCTGGCTATCAGTACCTCCCCTTACAATGAGAATGATGTGTCCCCTTCCACTTCACCCAGAGAGATATTCTCTTTCTCCAACATTTTCTCCACTTCTCCTACAAATTAAATGTGCAATAAATGTTTAGACTTCTGTAACTCTCATAAAATATCATGAGATTATCATTCTGCCAAAAATTCATCAACAATTACAATTTAAGTTAAGTAAGACTTGTTCAAGACACTTGAAGACAGCTTATTATAACAATGTCCAGAGGAGCTTTCACCAGTACAGAAGTGCCTATAGAGCTCACCTGAGGTGATCACACAATCTACATCCCTCGTCTGGTAGACATCGCTGTAAAAATCCTGTCTGGAGGCCTCCAGCTTCTTATCATAACAAGGCATCACTGTCACATGATAGATCTGGCTGGGGACCAAACCGTGCTTACTGGCGAAATAGTCCTTGACTAGTGACCCCATGATCTGCTGGGGGGACTTTGTGGTACTTATATACGGCAGAATGTAGGAACCATGTGTCTTCTCAGCATAACAGATCCATCCTAAAATGCACAAATTTTCTGCATTAATCTTAAATTTAAGCTCTAAGGCATTCATCTGGATTAATTTTTTTTATTTTTAAAGCTCATTTTACAAATAGATGATCTTATCCTTAATCACTATCAGTATGTAAAAACCATTAAATCAATTTTCAATTATATGACAATCATCTAACTCCTGGCAGAATATAAGGGGAGTAACTCTGCCTAAATGCTCTGCTGCAAAATTAATATGCTCCAGTTCAAGTAAATTTCCTAATAATCAGTTAACAGTACTGAACTGTTTACCAGGACAAGCAGAAGCCAACATGGGGAGGGACGTCTTGTTGGTTTCTGCCTCATAATAGCGCTGGACAAATTCCCGGCAACTCTCGAGTAAGCTGAAATTCCTAGAAAAGGTGGTATCAAATACATGATGTACACCTAATAAAAGAAAAGAAGAAAACTTTATGTAGCTCATTCATATCTGTAAATGTATCCCAGTACAGAGAATCAGAACAAATTCCATCATGCAAGCACTGAATTAACGATTACCCAGCTTTTTGAAGAACCCTGCCAGTTTTTGATGAGCAGCTTCTTGTGACAGCTGGTATTTTGTTGCTAGGGATGCTCTTGACTGAGGTGATATTGAAACAACAACTACTCTCTGTTTGTCTAATTCCCCTGACTGTCAATAAAGACAAATATTTTCAACAGTTAAATTACATATTACCTATGGTATAATTTTGCATTTTAAGTGGATCTTCTTCATACTACACAGAATGGATATCAATGTCATTAAAGAAAAACAAACCCTTTACTTTAGTTTGCATGTCTTTATATGACTTTTTATTATGATCCTATTTTCAATTTTACATTGTGAGTAAGCTAGCTATCAGAGGCCTGTTCAACAGAATGAGTGCTCTCCAAACATTTCTATTGGAGGTATAAGAAATTTTGGCAAGTGCCCCCGAACGTTAGCTCTGTTGAACAGGCCTCTGTGTATTATTTTACCTTTACCTGCTGAAGCCTGAGATTTTCCTGTAGAACATCATTTTAGTTTTACATTTTGAGGAGTAAGCTACCTGTACATATCTTTACTGTCCATACCTGCTGAAGCCTGAGATTTTCCTGTAGAACATTGTACAGTTCCTCTTGACTCTGCTGTGTAATGAGGACACTCTCTGCTGATGTGATACACCCACTACAAGCCAGACAATCATTCAGTGTAATCCGCGCTTTCTGCAGCTTCTTCTCTTCTCCACTCTAAAAGAAATTCTATTTTCAAATTGCAGATCTTGTATAAATATAAGTATTTTACATATATTATGATATGTATGTTACAAGAAATACCGTAATTTCGAGATTATAGGTCGATGGGGTATATAGGTCGAAAGGCTCATTTTCAGCCTTAATTTTTGAAAAATCCTAAGATAGGACGAACTTACTATATAGGACGAGGCTTTGTTTCCCGTTTTCTAAAGATTCTTACGCAGATACAACGTATCAGAACAGGTAAACCCCTAAAATTACCGAGGTTATTCGTGACATGAACGTATCAAGAAAATAAACACGTATTTTAATGAGTATAGCATTTAAATAAAGTTTTTTAAAAAAATGTAGTTAAAACTTCTTTTAATTGTGTTACTTCTTATTTTTCTCCAACTTGCCTGTTCAATGCCGCCATAGTTTCACACTGTTGTTAAATCAGATGCATAAATAACACGTAAATATGTTATTATTTTACAGCTATAGTTCGGGAAATACTCGAGACCAAAGAATAGTAATTCCGATTTCAGAACAACTTGGACACATTCCTAATAAATTTTATTTAGACATTATTTACCGGTGGATGACAATTACTTCGATGTCCGCCATTTTTATTTTTCTTCTCCAGGGATTTGCTAAAACACGCAAATGACCATTGAATGTATATATCAAGCAACAGTAAAGAATTGAAATCATATTAACACTCTATAGTTTAATTTATAAATTTAATTGAGAGTACATTCACAATTTGACTGTCAACATGAATTTCATGGCTTTGTTTGTTCAATGATGTGTAACACTAATACCCTATAATGGCACGTGGGTTTCTTAATCATGCCCCGCAGGCATTTAAACTATACACAGGGGTTTATGCAAGCTATTCCCACTTTTTGAAAATCAGGTAGAAAAAGGTGAAATTTCACGTGGGAGTAGGTGGAATTTTTGTGTAAACCAGAAGTCTCTGTCGAGACTGAAGCTCTACTGGTTTGAACTTATAGCAAAGGAAAAGAAAAGTAAAGAAAAGCAGCTGGGATTTGAAATTTTACAACAGCAATAAATAGAATAATGATCGTTGATAAAGTCTCTTTATGTTCTTAGTGTAGTCTACTTGTGTGCCAAGTTATGCTGAAATCAGACCAAAACTGTAGGAGGAGTAGCATTTTGAAACAATTTTACAGTCATTTCTATTTTTAGTAACCATGGCAACACCGTTCATCAAAATTAAAATTAAAATTCGATACACAGAATTATGTATCTTAGTGTATTCTACTTAGTGTGCCAAGTTATACTGAAATCAGACCAAAACTGTAGGAGGAGTAGCATTTTGAAACAATTTTACAGATATTTCTATTTTTAGTAACCACGGCAACACCGTTCATCGAAATCAAAAACCAATATACAGAATTATGTATCTTAGTGTATTCTACTTGTGTGCCAAGTTATACTGAAATCAGACCAAAACTGTAGGAGGAGTAGCATTTTGAAAGAATTTCACAGAAATTTCTATTTTTAGTAACCACGGCAACACCGTTCATCGAAATCAAAAACCGATAGACAGAATTATGTATCTTAGTGTAGTCTACTTGTGTGCCAAGTTATACTGAAATCAGACCAAAACTGTAGGAGGAGTAGCATTTTGAAAGAATTTCACAGAAATTTCTATTTTTAGTAACCACGGCAACACCGTTCATCGAAATCAAAAACCGATACACAGATTTATGTATCTTAGTGTAGTCTACTTGTGTGCCAAGTTATACTGAAATCAGACCAAAACTGTAGGAGGAGTAGCATTTTGAAAGAATTTCACAGAAATTTCTATTTTTAGTAACCACGGCAACACCGTTCATCGAAATCAAAAACCGATACACAGATTTATGTATCTTAGTGTAGTCTACTTGTGTGCCAAGTTATACTGAAATCAGACCAAAACTGTAGGAGGAGTAGCATTTTGAAAGAATTTCACAGAAATTTCTATTTTTAGTAACCACGGCAACACCGTTCATCAAAATCAAAAACCGATAAACAGAACTATGTATCTTAGTGTAGTCTACTTGTGTGCCAAGTTATACTGAAATCAGACCAAAACTGTAGGAGGAGTAGCATTTTGAAAGAATTTCACAGAAATTTCTATTTTTAGTAACCACGGCAACACCGTTCATCGAAATCAAAAACCAATATACAGAATTATGTATCTTAGTGTAGTCTACTTGTGTGCCAAGTTATATTGAAATTAGACCAAAACTGTAGGAGGAGTAGCATTTTGAAAAATTGTTTACAGACAGACGGACAGACAGACAGACAGACGGACGGACGGACGGACGCCGGACGCATTACTATCGCATAAGCTCTTCTGGTCTCTGACCAGTAGAGCTAACAAAATATTAGCTGAATAAACATGTCATTACTGTGAAAACAGTAATTATTTAACCTCTGGGAGTAGAGGACAGGTAAATTTGCTATCTTGAATTATAAAATCTGGCTTTTTACTACTATTTCAATGAGAAATTAGACTTTTTCAAATAAAAATAATTTTTTTTTTTTTTTTTTTAATCTGACTTTTTACTTCTATTTCAATGAGAAATAAGACTTTTTCAAATAAAAATATTTTTCATAATAATTTTACACATTCAAAAATTAAAGTATATATTTCAGTGAATTTAAGTATATTTTAAATATTTTCTTGATAAATATATTTATTTTCTGTCTTAAAATGTACAAAATAGTGGTAAAATAGAGGTAAATCTGAGATGGGATGTAATTAGTCTAATTACTGTAAAAACCAATTAACTAATCAAAACATCTATTGTTATTTGCAAGTGGGAATAGGTGGAATTGGGATTTTTAAAAAGTGGGAATAGCTAGAAGACACCTACACAGGTGTTATAACACCTTTGCGTACACAGTGTAAATCCCTTTACCTGTCAGACAGTTAAAAATTCTGTTAGAAGCCAATCTTTGTATCGGTATATTCAAGATAAGTTCGTTTGACCGGTATTACAATTAATTAAAATTAAAAAAACACGGTAATGACTAGCGACTTTTTTTTGGTAATTAAATTTAGGAATTGAATGGCAACAAATTATTTCACTCACTTTACATTTAAATAAAGATAAGACAATAAAAAATATTTAATATACTATTTCAATTTATTGCTACTAATAAATAGTAAAAACACTACAGTTGTGATCGTGAAAAATTTCCGTATTTTAAATTTTGATACGGTTGCGGTTTTACTTTTAGTACACGATCGCGACTTCCTAACTTCACAAGATGGATACCGCATGATGTTAATGGACAATACGTTGAGGAATTATTTAATAGATGAAGCAATGTTGTTTTCCTTTGTCATCAACGGATAATTAATGGAATTTATTTTGTAAGAAAGCTATAGAATAAATATTTTATTGTTTACCGGGGCATTAATTTTTTTGCGAAAAATAATCAAAAAAGTTACGAAAGTGGCACAAATTTGCTTTGAAATTGACGTAAATTTTACTGATTAGGGGGCATTTTTCGTAAACTTGAGCCTTAAATAGGTCGAATTCTGTATATTGGGCAACCCCAGCGGTTTTGAGAAAAAAAGTATCGACCTATATTCCGTAAATTACGGTATCTACTGGTACAACTTTTACTATATTCTTTTTCTCATATATATGTCTCAAAACCATTTACAGTACTGTCGTTATCTGAATCATATGATTGAAATTGTGCAATTATAGGTAGAAAGTTTCATTCGTCATGAAAATTAATGGTTGCATATGGGTTTTAAGACTGACAAAAAGTAAAAACTATCAACTAAAAAGTTTGTTTACCTCCGCTACTTCCATATAAGAACCATCATCCTCTATTCTTATTTTAGCTACTTTTCCTGGCTTTCTGTCAATCTTAACTGGCTTGACACACTCCTTCAAAATAAGCAAATTTTAAAACAATATTTAAGCATGCACAGTGAGTTACTGACAGGATAAATTTAAAACAAGTGAAATATGTTTAATTTTTAAGATAGCGAAATAGTCTTGCAAGGACATCATTCACAGCTATCATCTTTCCTATCTGGATACAATGAACTAATCTATCAGACAGTTGCAGAATTATTTTTTTTCATTGAAACTTGTGATTAATATTAAATACGGGTACCAGAACTACATGTATCAGTGTGACAAAATGAACTAATCTATCAAAAGTTGCAGATTTTTCCTTTCTTTGAAAATTACAGTAAAACTCGGTTATAGCGAAGTCTTCGGGACCTGTGAATTTAATTCGCTATATCCATAATTCGTTATATCCGTATAACGAATTCGTATAACCATTATAGCGAATTTGCAATATGCGTGTTTTCCTTCAGGTTTTACTACCAAATATATTAGGGAAGCAAATATAACAAAACATATCTTTGATAACTAAGGTTTTATTATGAAATGAACTTTATATACAAATGCTAAAAGGAAATCAAGTCAGTTCAATTTATCAATTTTTTTTATAATCTTGGAAAGTTCGTTATAAAAGATGTAAATTTCATCATATTTAACCTCAACGGGACTCAAAATCAGTTCGCTATATCCGTAAATTCGTTGTATCAGAGTTCGTTATAACTGTAAATTTTTACAAAGATTTGTTAACAATTTTGCTGGGGACCCAGGAAAACTTCGCTTTATCCGTGAATTCGCTATATCCGTGTTTGTACTAAACGAGTTTTACTGTATCATCTACATTAGTATGAAACTTCTAGTGTTCATGCATTTCTCCATACATATATGTAATCATGAAAAAAGGTGAAAAAGCAGTCTAAGAATGATAAATCACAACCAGGCCCCATGACCATAAACTGAGAATAAACTTAAGTCAGAATTTTAAATCAATATAACTTTTGAGAGAAAAAAAAGATAATGAAACTAATTTTGCATCATTTGTTGGAATCTGAATATAGACGAATTTCACATTCCTAAGAGTTATCTCCCGTTGTCAGCGTAACGCTCATTTTTCCCACTTTGTCCTTTGTAAGTTACTTGTTAATATTTTTTATCTTCAAATGTTATCACACAATTTCGATCTGTACCTGTATTGCCAGAATATGGGGCAACATGAAAAACGTAATGAACATATTCATACAGATTTTATTTCTGAGATCATACTGACCCATAAAGTTGGTAAGGTTATTGAGGGAAAACAGTGTCTTACGCCGGTTGACCCAGATTGACCCCGCAAAAGGGAATAACTTTTGTAAATATGAGAGTCGTCTATTATACATAATAGGTTTAGCTAAGTTTTGTAAAACTGTTCTTAAAACATTTAATACCTGAACTTCCTACGATGTAAACTTTTTTTTTATTTTTGTACAGGGTTAGGGTTAGGGTTAGGGGGTTAGGGTTAGGGTTATCCATCAGTACTGTCCATATCAAAGATCTTTTTCTTGTTCATCATGTTAACTGTTCACATTTTTACTTGTTCAATTGTTAAATTCTTGTTGTACTAACATACCCCATGTGGGGGCTTTAGTGAAATAAAAAGTTTCAAGTTTCAAAGTTTCATAACTGCAAAATTTTAAGTACATATTTTATATAAAACCAAGTTATTCAGAATCAAAATTTTAACTTAAGTCTTTTCTCTTTTCTCATTTCATGGTCATGGGGCCAGGCCACGTATTAATTATCGTCTATAACAAACAAGGCCAGCTTATCAACCCTTCCCAATGAGGTCGGGTTCGGAATTCTCCGAAGTAGCTAGCCTAAAACACTACACCGTGAGAATACTACGTATTTCAAATCCTTGCAAATATGAAAGGGGCTAATTTTGTAATTGTAAAGTGCATAAACATGTAAGAAATTCATATAGAATACATAGAATTCCCTTAACAACCTGTGAAGGAGTGATAAAGTCATTTAAATCCGTTAACTGCAGTGCCCCACTGAAGTTGGAAGCCATCTTAATTCTTTAGCCAATCAAATTACACTTCGCTAAGAGCTGGGTAAAACTAGGAATAAGTTAAATCAGATCATCGTTGAAATAATTATTGACAATACATGAAAAGTCCTATTAATTATTTCGTATAAGCTTTGATTAAATTTAGTTTTGATCTTTGTATTTATCTCATTTTCTTTCCTTCATCTGAAAATATTTTACAAACAAGACCGGAACGGTTCAGAAAATACTAACCTGAATCCTACATCCGCTGTAAACATTTGCAAGCATGTCGAAGATGTTCATGATGTTGTGACTTTTTTACTGCATTAAACAACGAAAATGAGTGGACAGAAGGGCAACAACGACCCTGTCATACTGGCGACAGCAGGATACGACCACACTATACGGTTCTGGCAGGCACACACAGGAATATGTTACAGAACTGTCCAGCACCCTGACTCTGTATCCTGAAAAAAAATATGTAAATTTAGGTTAATCTCTAAATTATTTTATTGTATTGCTTTATGTTTTGTCAATGTCTCTGGCTTTATCTTTTGAATGAACTTAGTTTAAAAAAAAACTACATAAAGAATTGAATTAATTGCCTTAACATGATGCAGCAAGTGAATGCTTTGGAAATCACTCCTGACAAGCAGATGATAGCAGCTGCAGGTAAAACTTGATTTATATGTATTTTTCTTTTGTATTCTAATTTTGAATTCAGTTTACAATTTGACAAAATAATATTCCCTAGCCTTTATTAATTTAAAGATTTAGTTTCCCAATTAAAAAAATTTTAGTCAGTCATACATATGTACAGTATGTGTAATATGCAGATGTATTTTTTCTTTTTATCATATTTTATTTTATTCTTTCAGGATATCAACACATACGAATGTACGACCTGAACTCTGATAATCCTAACCCTGTTGTAAACTATGACGGTATCCAGAAAAACGTCACCAGTGTCGGCTTCCATGAGGAGGGAAAATGGATGTACACTGGCGGAGAGGACAACACGGTCCGCATCTGGGATCTCAGGTTAAAAATAACTTATACAAATGATTTAGATTTAGCAAATTATTCTACGGAATTTTAATAGTTTTCAACTGTTAATTCAAAGAACATGCATCAGTATTTGATATATGCCTGTGTTTTTCAGAACAAGGAGTTTGCAGTGTCAAAGAATATTTCAGGCCAATGCTCCAGTAAATTGTGTGTGTTTACATCCCAACCAGGTTTGTTAAATTCATTTTGTAAGCCTTAAATTTTTATTAAGAATTCGAAGAGAATTTTATTCCTGGTGATGATTCTGTTCACATCATAATGAGTCTTATGTTTGATAAAGACAAAATTTTCATCACTATGTTTTTCTTTTCGTGTATTTTTTTAAGGGAGAAATATTTGTTGGAGATCAGAATGGCAAAATACACATCTGGGATCTGAAGACAGATAGCAGTGAAAATTTGGTAAATGATGTTTAATAGATATAATTTTATTCATAATAATACAAACAAGTTTACAGTGTAGTTGATTTGCTTTGCTTTCTTATCATGCCTTACCTGGCCGTAAATTTCGGTTACAAGGAAGTTATGGGGATATTGAATTTTGTGCACTCAATTTTATACAGGTATATAAGATAATTAAGAGACACGGTGAAAAGTCCTTTATGAGATTTCTAAAATATTCCTAATATAAATCAACATTTCCTTCTAAAGAGAGTTTTTTAAAACCTAGTTCTACTGGACATGTAGCAGCAGTACCTACTGCTTAAGTATCACTGACTGTCTTGACAATTTTTTCAGACTCCAGAAAAGGATGCTTCCATTCAATCCATCAGTATAGACCCAATGGGAACAATGATGTCAGCCATTAACAATAAGGTAAGGGAGAGAAATCACTTATTGCTTAACAAAGACCCCTCAATTATTTTATTCATTTCAGGAGTAAAAAATCTCTTAAAAACATTATTTAAAATTTTAATGTGCACCTTGGCAGTTGGCACCACAAATTGTTGAATAAATGCACCATTTTTCACTTCAGTGGGACTGGTGCAAGCCATTCTGAGGCAGTTTTGTTTTACAGTGTATGTGTTTGTTAGATAATATGTTTAGTTATTAAGACTGTGTCACATTTAACAGGGAATGTGCTATATATGGACTCTGTCTGGAGGAAGGGGGACAGATCCAGTTAAAGTTCACTTAAAAAATAACTTTGAAGCTCACTCTAAGTATGGAATTAAATGCCTGTTCAGTCCAGATTCAACGTAAGTATATGCACTAGGTTAATTAATGTGGGGAAACTCTGAAAAGGGACAAATATTATATATCTGTAACAAAGGCTTGGTATCTGCTGGGAATTTTGTGTTGTGATTTACTGTGACATTATGAACTGTATCACAATGTTGAATTGCAATACTTTAAATATTATACATATTAAAATTACTTTTTATTAACATCCATCTATAAGCAGAGTATACTGTAAAAGCACAAATATTCGTGGGGGATTAAATTTCGTTTATTTCGTTGTTTACAATATTCAACGAAATTAAATCCCACACGAAATTTTATTTGACTATACACTGAATAGGGTTACTTTCAAAACAACGAAATTAAATGCCCACAAAACTATTTTTGAAGACAAAACAACGAAATTTTATGCCCACGAAAATTTGTGCTTCTACAGTATTTAACTTTTATAAATATCTTTCAACAACAAAAAATTCAGGTTGATTTCACAACAGTTTTGCAAAGAAATGCAATTATACAACAGCAATCTTACTCTTCCCATGGCATGATGAAGAATATTTACGACAGCTTTAATTTCATATTTTACACTAGAAATCCCAAATCCAAGCATTTTCCTAGTACATTGTACATGGCTAAAAAAACATAGCATTTTTTGTCAACAAATCACAATATACCAGATTATTGATAATATTTGGCAGCCCTTACTCTGACCCATATTTTGATTATCTCCTTTAAACATATTTTCCAAAATGTCTAAAAACATAAAATATTTGTGAAAAGTACATGAAAAACCTTTATTGAATGAATAAGAAAATCAATCATTATGGGGAATAGACATCCATTACTACAGCTCTAAAGAATGCTCTTTTTAAAAAAAAATACACTGGTAAATATTTTACACTGTTTTGTAATGGAGAGATGTGACTTCTGATTGGATAATTTCTAGGCTACTGGCCACCACATCTGCTGACCAGACCTGTAAGATCTGGAGGACAGCTGACCACACACTAATGACAGAACTCAAGGAGAACACTCAGAGATGGGTGTGGGACTGTGCCTTCAGTGGGGACTCACAGTACATCATAACAGGTGAGAACTACAAACTGAGTAACACTCAGAGATGGATGTGGGACTGTGCCTTCAGTGGGGACTCACAATATATAATAACAGGTGAGTAATAGAAAATGAATACACTCATAGAGCTAAGAAATACTTAGAGAGCTGAGTAACTTTCAGAGATTGGTGTGGGACTGTGTTTTTAGCAGGGACTCACAGTACATCATAACAGGTGAGTTCTACAAATTGAGTAACACTCAGAGACTGAGTAACACTTGGAGATGGGTGTGGGACTGTGACTTTAGCGGGGACTCACAGTACATCATAAGAGGTCAGTTCTACAAACTGATTAGCACTCAGAGCTGAGTAACACTCAGAAAGGTGAGTAACACTCAGAGAGGTGAGTAACACTCAGACATGGGTTTGGGACTGTGCCTTTAGTGGGGACTCTACATCATAACAGGTGAGTTCTACAAACTGAGTAATGCTCAGAGAGCTAAGTAACACTCAAAGAGCTGAGTAACACTCAGAGATGGGTGTGGGACTGTGACTTTAGCGGGGACTCACAGTACATCATAACAGGTGAGTTCTACAAACTGAGTAACACTCAGAGATGGGTAACACTCAGAGAGCTGAGTAACACTCAGAAAGGTGAGTAACACTCAGAGAGGTGAGTAACACTCACGGAGGGAAGCAACACTCGGAGATGGGTGTGGGACTGTGCCTTTAGGGTGGACTCATATCATATCAGATAAATCTTACAAAATGAGTAACAGAGAGATAGTGTGGGATTGGAAAGTTGGAAAAAGCATGTGATTTTTAGCTCTACTGGTCAGAGACCAGAAGAGCTTATGCGATGCATAATGATGTAAGCGTCCAACTGTATCCGTATTTTTTTGTCTGTCTGTCTGTCTGTCTGTAAACAATTTTTCAAAATGCTACTCCTATTAGAGTTTTGGTCCGATTTCAATATAACTTGGCACACAAGTAGACTACACTAAGATACATAATTTGGTGCATCGGTTTTTGATTTCGATGAACGGCGTTGCCATGGTTACTAAAAATAGAAATTTCTGTGAACTTCTTTCAAAATGCTACTCCTCTTACAATTTTGGTCCGATTTCAATATAACTTGCAACACAAGTAGACTACACTAAGATACATAATTCTGTGCATCGGTTTTTGATTTTGATGAACGGTGTTGCCATGGTTACTAAAAATAGAAATTTCTGTGAACTTCTTTCAAAATGCTACTCCTCTTGCAGTTTTGGTCCGATTTCAATATAACTTGGCACACAAGTACTACACTAAGATACATAATTCTGTGCATCGGTTTTTGATTTCGATGAACGGTGTTGCCATGGTTACTAAAAATAGAAATTTCTGTGAACTTCTTTCAAAATGCTACTCCTCTTACAATTTTGGTCCGATTTCAATATAACTTGGCACACAAGTAGACTACACTAAGATACATAATTTTGTGCATCGGTTTTTGATTTCGATGAACGGTGTTACCATGGTTACTAAAAATAGAAATTTCTGTGAACTTCTTTCAAAATGCTACTCCTCTTACAGTTTTGGTCCGATTTCAATATAACTTGGCACACAAGTAGACTACACTAAGATACATAATTCTGTGCATCGGTTTTTGATTTTGATGAACGGTGTTGCCATGGTTACTAAAAATAGAAATTTCTGTGAACTTCTTTCAAAATGCTACTCCTCAGACAGTTTTGGTCCATTTCAATATAACTTGGCACACAAGTAGACTACACTAAGATACATAATTCTGTGCATCGGTTTTTGATTTTGATGAACGGTGTTGCCATGGTTACTAAAAATAGAAATTTCTGTGAACTTCTTTCAAAATGCTACTCCTCTTACAGTTTTGTGTGGGATTTCAATATAACTTGGCACACAAGTAGACTACACTAAGATACATAATTCTGTGCATCGGTTTTTGATTTTGATGAACGGTGTTGCCATGGTTACTAAAAATAGAAATTTCTGTGAACTTCTTTCAAAATGCTACTCCTCTTACAGTTTTGGTCCGATTTCAATATAACTTGGCACACAAGTAGACTACACTAAGATACATAATTCTGTGCATCGGTTTTTGATTTCGATGAACGGTGTTGCCATGGTTACTAATAATAGAAATTTCTGTGAAATTTTATTTTAAATACTACTTGTCCACCAGTTTTGTTCTGATTTCAATATAATGTGGCACACAAGTAGACTACACTAAGATACATAATTCTGTGCATCGGTTTTTGATTTCGAGGACCGGTGTTGCCATGGTTACTAAAAATAGAAATTTCTGTGAAATTTTATTTTAAATACTACTCGTCCACCAGTTTTGTTCTGATTTCAATATAATGTGGCACACAAGTAGACTACACTAAGATACATAATTCTTGGCATCGGTTTTTGATTTTGATGAACGGTGTTGCCATGGTTGCGAAAAATAGAAATTTATGTGAAATTCTTTCAAATGCTACTCCTCCTTTAGTTTTGGTCCGATTTTAATATAACTTGGCACACAAGTAGTAGGGATGGGTATCGCTAAAAATTTCGTATCGCGATATATCACGATTTTTTCCCATAATATCATGATAAAATCGTGATATTTTTAAAAGCAGTTTTTACAATGATTTTATATGAAAAGTCATTATTTTTTGAAAAAAAATGTATGAAAAACAAAATTTTATTTTTTGAAATATTTATGTATATAAAATCCACTATGTTTGGACGATAAGATGCCGTTATTTTCACGTTTTACAACATTTTTATACTTTCTGCAATTGTAATTTGAAAAGATTAAACAAATAAATGAATAATTTCTGGACTTTATAATATGTACTTAAATAAAATTTAGGTCTCCGTATTGGAAAGATCACGCAACAAAAAATCGCGATATACTGGTATACCGATAAAATCGCACATCCCTAACAAGTAGACTACACTAAGATACATAATTCTGTGCATCAGTTTTTATTTTGTTGAGTGTCAAGGATCATTTTTCTATTGATTCCTGTTTAAAATATAATCAACATTAAAACCAAATATTGTTTCTTGTATGGAAGTTATACAATTAGTTTGCGAACTTTTTGATCACCCCTCGTATATCAGTACTTTTGGCTGAAAAGTGAAATTAAGTGCTTCTACATTAATGTTGATAAACCTGATGTTGCATTAACTGAACAACTCTTGTAAATATGTTGATTAACCTTCTTAATATATATAACCAGAGTATTTTTTTCTGTTTTATATTAAGCTTCCTCAGACAACATGGCTCGCCTGTGGTCGGTGGAGTCGGGGGATGTGAAGAAGGAATACAGCGGTCATCAGAAGGCAGTGGTCTGTCTGGCCTTCAGGGACGAGTTCGTACAATAACAGGGAGAAACTGTTTATGTTACAGGACAGTACCATACTGAAGACTGTGTTGTAAGGAGTGTGTTACCTGGACATATGCAAGGATTTATAGATCCTTTATGAAGTGTACAAGGACAAGACTTGTGTCAAACTAGTTATTGATTGTTGAATGAATTTTGTTGAAATATTTACATGAAATATTATGGATGGTATATTGTTATATGAAATACAAATAAACTTGAAAGTGACTGTTTTTGTTAATAATACTCATTTTAAATTGCGAGTTCTTTACTCCTCCAAGGCACCTGATCCCACCCCTGGAATTCAATCAGGATATACCATACTTCACACTTGAAAACAATATATTGCATCGCAGTTTTGTTTAAGAAATTATACTATGTTCTTTGAATGTTTGTATGGGGGCGAAAATTTCCCTGTATATAGTATTGCATGGTCTCTTCTTATGTTTGTATATTTGTTTGTCAAATTTTCATGTGAACAAACAGAAACAAGAAATCTAAACAACAGCAGTGCAAAGGTTACAAGTAATCAGGGGATGCCTTTTGTTTGATAAAGATGAGTCTGCCATTCCATAAATTAGTAATTCAGAAACAGGAATTATAGTTCAATTAAAACTTTATTTACAACTGATTTACAAGTTGAACATTTAAAATAATCAATAACAATGAAGATGTGTATAATTATGTAAATTATGAAACAACTGCAGATCAAGAAATGAGATGAAAAGCATACTTGTATACATATTTACATACTTTAATTATTATAATACACTGTTGTAATTTCAAATCTGTCTCAAATGCCATTAACTTTCACCGATACTCCTTCTTTTAAGTTATAGTCTATCAGACAATTTTTTTTTACAACTGTATTACATTTTCAGGAAATTATGGTTTTTCCATTATGTAATTGGAATCTGCATTTTTCAGGTTGTAGGATATATGTAATCAAAGAAATGTATCATACATCATAAATAAGAAAGATTCTACAATTAATACTAAAACTTGTAAGGAAAACATGCATGAAAATGTATCTATATGGTATACTTGGTGATTATAACATCACATAGTTTAATTTATTATTATATTTTATATTGCACATCTTAAAATAAAATTCTTAATATAATTTCTTAAGAATGTATATATACCAAATAGTTTACAATGCATAAAAATCTTCTTAAAATCAGCTAAATAACCAACAAGCAAAGATGGCATGTATTACATGCATTAAGATTTTGCCACTTGAGAATATGAATTTTTCACACAACCAATACATGTTACATGTAATAAGGGGGAAAATATTCTTTTTTTCCCCCCTCACAGACCAAATGCTGTTCTCAATAAACTTTTTCCAAATAAAAATCAAAAGTATTGCTTGTAAATACAGATTTCAAACAATATTAACATGTCCAAACATTGATGTTTGTTGCCACTTGTATTTCAAAAAAAATGTTTTTGGGTATGTATAATGTCTGAAAAGTTGTGGGTAAAATAGAATCATCACAGATACGTGTATAGCAATTATAACAGGTGATGAAATGATCAAAATAGATACATGTGTTGGTCTGACGGTCCTAGGAAAGTCTATTAATACATTTGATGAACTATTTTGAAAGATCATGGATCTTTAATTCAACTCAAATGCAAGTTACTAAAGCAACAAAAAATATATATTGTAATTGTAATAGAATTTTAGGAATTGATCACTAAATCTAGAAAACATAACAATACATGTACATGTATATACACATACGTGCAGATGATTGACAATACAAAATATTCCATCATGTCCCTGCATCTGTTAGTGGTCTCTTTCTCCGTTACCTCTTTAAATTTGTAAGACATGGCCTAATCAAACACAGCCCCACAGTTTGGACACCGTCGCTGTCTCATGGCTAAACAACACAGAATGCCGAGGGGAAAGAACAATATAGCACAGAGCACACCTAAACATGTGTAGTCCTCCTCCAGAACTCCAGACTGTAACAAACATTTAAAAAAATTTCAAATATTTGTTTTGATTTTTTTTTTAATACATAATGGATTGAGCATATGAAAGTTAGTAAAAGAGACCTCATTTCTAAGAAATTAAATTGCTTTTCAAACAGTATAACCTTGGCATAAATTCACAATAATGCAGTGATTCCTAATCTCCAGCAACTTATAGAAATTTGACTTCAGACTATAGGAATGTGTTGAAATTGGTTGAATATTGCAATGACAGAAATCAAAAATGTTATAATTTTGTTCTATACATAGTACCCATGACAGCTTGTTGTTCATAGTAGACAACTAAGTGTAACAGTAATTAAACATTTAAATAGCAATTTAAGTAAAATATTTAACATTAAGGCACAATTAGCTATATATTCTAGTTGATAAAATTTAATATGTTTTTGATTAATTTACACAGTTAAATCCCTTTACAACAGATTTTTAAAAAAGAGGCCCGTAGGCCACATTGTTCATCTGCACAGCTTGCATATAGAAAAGTAGAAATCAGTTTACAAGTGAAAAGTTTAAAGACAGACACTAGACATGTTTTGATCAGAAAAGCTTAACTGAGCCTTTGACTCTTGTGAGCTAAAATAAAAAGTCTTTAATGAATGTAGTAACTTACCCTGCATGCTGGACATCCCCCAACAAGAACTACTTGAGTGGCTGGCTGTTGCTGAACTACGACCCCGTATTGCTGCTGGTACCCTTGCTGTCCATAACCTGGTTGCCTGCCCTGATATCCTGGCTGGTTGTATCCTTGGTGGGTTTTGGAGGGGTCGTAACCGTGATTGTACGCCCCTGCGGGGGGATAACCTGCCTGATAGGGTGCAGTTGGAACTGCTCCATAACCTCCACCTGATAGAAAAAAAATCAGTCTAAATCTGCATTGGGTCTGGGTCATAGTTTTAAACCAAAGAAAGGACATTATTAACTAGTTTGAACTTTTTTTACTTTATAATATTGAATTTGATTTTTCTACATGTCCCTGACAGGCACAATATTTACAGAAAAAATGCTTCATTGGCAAGTGTACATTGTGAATGTATGAACAGGATCTCCAAAGATCTGTAGTTGGTTATGATTTTTTATCAGAGTTGTGTTTTTTTTAAACCCACAAGTCTTGGCGAGGGGATAGGAAAAAAAAAACACTGGGTAGGATAAAAACTATACCCAGTCACAAATCATTGTAATTCTTTTAATCATGTTCCATACAATGTATGACATTGTTTATAAAATTATGTTAATGACATGTATCACTATGAATCTACAAGTATTTACTTTATCATTTTCATGAAATACCATTTGTGGACTCCCAGAAATGGGATATGAATAAAAATATTCAATTTGTGAAATCCATGGGATAATGGATAAACGTGACTAGTAAAGGGATATAATTTTTTTCTAATGTATAACTTGTCTAAAAGGACAAAAAGATATCTAATTAGAACTAGCATATACCCCTTGTTGTTTTCACACTGTTCCCTATTTTGAGTTGCTTGACTTACCCCCTTGCTGCCCCGCCACTTCTTGATAAGCAGGGGGCGCCCCATTATTCTGAGATGCCATGCTTTACTTATTTCTCTGTAACATATAGATAGGTTTTACATTCAAGGTAGAGAGAGAATGAATTAAAAAATCCAAGGTAAACAGTGATCAATGTAAATAGATTTTATGGTAAAGTTCAACATCAATCCATATATAAATGCTGCTATTAATAATAGATTCATAGTTCCAACTGATGAGAGAGTCTGTAACTCATTTTACTCTAACTTGCATTCTTATCTTCAAACTGCGTACTTGACAACATCCGACTGCAAGTCATCAGTTCGAATTCAATATTTGACAAATGGAAAGTAGAGATCTCGAAAATTCAAGACTTTCGAGCATGTTGAGTGCGTTCAATCATTCTAAACGATTTTTGTTCTAGCTATAAAAATACTAAAGCTTTAAAGTTTCAACTTTAACTTTTTTTTGAGCATTTGACTACTGACAAGTTATAAAAAATACCAACCGTTCGTTTTACAATAACAAATCGCTGTCACAAGACTAATATCACGGAACGGTGTAAACTAAGTTCTCAGCAGAGGAAAACATATTTCCGGAACAACTCGGTTTATAGAGATTATTTCTAGAAAAAAACAAGGACACGAGGACACGATCACTAAAAGTTTAGATTTTCATGCCATCTTTATTTGTCTGCCTCGATACGTCGTCTGTGATTGCCACGCCTTTGTATTTTGGAGCGTAAATTTACAACCGATTTTGGCCACAGGCACCTGACGAATGGATGCCCCCCCTCCCCCTCCCCCAACTTCTGATTTTTTTTTTATAAGAAACAAAACCTTATCAAAATACATGATTTCTTAATCTAATAGTATATTATTCTTATATTTCGATATCTGATATCGATTTCCTCTTTTGTTAAGATTTAGATATTGGCACTTATAAGGTATATAATTACTTTTTTTTGTATACCGTATAGGTCCAATTCCAGAAATTTAAACTCAAAATTTTCAGAAGCTGGAAGGGGGAGGGAGGTTACACCATCCATTCGTCAGGTGCCTGTTATTTTGGCATGTAATTATAATTGATGAAAAATTAAATTACGAATTTCATTTTCCTGCCCCTGCCTTCGGGAGCTAAGGGGTGGGGCTAACACTTAAAAATTTATGCGATCTTCATAAATCTTCTTTACTCCTGGACGTGATTTTTTTTTGCCCAGGGCTATCAAACGCTCTTATGATAGGGGGGGGGGTTCTATTGATGTAACACTCAAATATACATGTAGTAAATGCCTTTAAAAAATTATTATTCCCAGTTCCTGGATATTTTGCAAAAATACATGTTGTATTAAATGTATTCATGACTAAGATTTATAAGCAAAAAGTGCGTCTTCCTAAATTATGAGATTGTTGACTTCTGGGCACATTCTTTGATGAAACATGTTTTAAATATATTGATTCTTATTTAATATACATGTAGGTATAGGCATCAACTTAGCTGCAATAATGTAGCCCTCTCCTTTTTTTTTCCAGAAAAATATCAGATTAAAAACATCGGAGAGGGCTACATTATTGCAGCTAGCATCAACTAGTCTCAGGGGGATTATATTTCTAAAAATATGGTTACCTCAATATTTATAAATCTAATGTGAAATTTCTGAATTACCAAATATTTTCTCTCGAATGATTATAATTACTAGTATGTGAATTTGTTTTATGTGATGGTATGATACCAAATAAATGATTATGATGGGTCAGTGGCTCTGGTGATCATGCACTTAAAAGCATACATGTAAGAATATAGATGCAAGAAAATGAAGGATACGTCAGAGCAATGGAAAAGGACATCAATATTGCAAAAGAAAAAAAAACTGATGAAGTTTTATAGAATATATTGCAAAAGAAAAAAAAACTGATCAAGTTTTAAAGAATGTAACAATAGTTTCCATTGTGTCAAAGGGCAAGATAGCCAATGTTTTGTCAAACAAGCCACTGAAACAATTAAGTACAGATATTTTAATAGCAGATGGTACACCATTGAAAGTGTATGGTACTCAAGAAATAAAGTTTTCCACACAGGGTATGCTCTTTGAAGTTTGAACATGTTATGGTAGTTGCCGACTTAAGAGTTGGCGGAATATTAGGTTTAGATTTCCTAAGAGCTCATAAATGTTCATTAGACCTGGAGGGTTCTTCGCTGACTTTTGGTCAAGTTGGAAAGTCAGTTGCTTGTAAATACAAGGAAAAAATTGGTTGCTTCCGAGTAACACTGCGTGAAGATCTTGGGATACCACCAAAAAGTGAAGTTTTGACTTATTGTAAAGTCCATAACCTGGATAACCAAAGTGCTTCCAGTTTCTCTAAAGTAGGCTTAGTAGAACCTTGTAAGCAATTTGATGATTCTGATAGAGCATTAGTAGCAAGAACACTTGTGACATACAACAAAGAGATCAAAGTTCCAGTGCGTCTTATAAACCTACAGAATGAGGTAATGCATTTAAGGAAAAGCACATTCATTGCTGGACTGAACTCATTCAAAATGTTTTGACAGCGACCGTGGGCAGACGGACGCCAGATTGCAAAGAATTTTTTATAATTATATATGAATTTATAAAGCGCTAAATATTAATAAATTAACTCTAAAGCGCTGTACAATAAAACGTTAGTAAACATAATTAAGAGCTATGACTACGTAAATAAAATATTAACACATAGGCCTACTCATATATGTGTTAGAAATTATAACATTAAAATACTAATATTACATACAAAATACAATTACGCCATTAATAAAACTGTCAATAAAGGAACATCTTTTGTTATTAGCTGATTAAAGTTGTGCACCAGATAATTAAAAAGCTATTCTATAAAAATGCGTCTTTAATTGTCTTTTGAAAATGTCAAGGGACTGGGCCTATTTTATGTCATTAGGAAGGTCGTTCCACAAGAATGCTGCTGCCCAACCAAGTCGTCGTTCGCCATATGTCTTTGTCCTGATTTTAGGAACAACTAGCCGTGATGTTGACTCAGATCGCAGTGATCTGATGGGCTTGTATTCCATTATAAGATCTTTGATATAAGATGGAGCTAACCCGTGTAAGTATTGGTAGACATATGTCAAGATTTTATATTGTGGACGAAAAAAGGGGTAGCCAATGAAGATCAGCTAGGATAGATGTAATATGCTCCCGTTTCGATGATCTTGTAACTAAACGAGCTGCTATGTTCTGGACTTTTTGAATCCGTTCTAGTATGGCCTTTGACACGCCATATAGAAGGCAGTTCCCATAGTCCAATCTGGCAGTGATAGCGGCGTTCACATTGGTCTTGCAGGCTTCTTTTTGTAAGAAAGCGCCATATATGTCCAATATTGCTTATTTGGAAATAGCATGACTTGACGACCGAGGATACCTGTTTTTTCATAGTAAGGTGTTGATCGAAAAAAAAAACACCTAGATTTTTCACACATGGCACGCTTTCAATGATATTATCACCAACTTTTAGTTGTAATTTTGGCAGATACTTCTGGTGTTGCTTTGTGGTGAAGATTAAGAACTCGGTCTTTTCTTGGTTTAGTTTGAGTAGGTTCGATGTCATCCATGAACCAATTTCGCTAAGGCACGCTTCAAGTCGAGAGAAATAATTGTTCCAATTTTCCAGTGGTCTTATAAGTATGTAGATTTGTGTATCATCTGCATAGCAGTAATATATCATTCCATGTCGATGGTATATAATTCCAATGGCTTTTGAGAAGAGGCAATACAATTTCGGTCCGAGTACAGATCCTTGGGGGACACCGAAAGGCAGCTGTCTAGACTCTGATCGGACGGATCCAATTGTGACACATTGTTTTCTGTTCTTGAAGTAAGACTTGATCCACTCAAGAGCACCATCACAGAATCCATAAGACACAGTTAGGCGTTGGAACACTATTTTATGATCAATAACATCAGAAGCAGCGGATAAATCCAGAAGGACAAGGACTGCTGAAGATTGTTGGTCCAGAGCTGTCACAGTATCATTGTGGACCTTGATGAGGGCCGTTTCCGTGGAGTGCCTGGGACGATATGCCGACTGAAGTAGATCGCGAAGAGAATTCGCATCCAAGTGGGCATCAATCCTACGACCACAACTTTCTCCAATATTTTTTAGATAACCTCAAGTTTGATACGGGTCGATAGTTTTTCAACACTTCTTTTTCTAGTCCAGGTTTCTTAAGAAGTGGACGAACTATGGCCTCCTTCCAAGCGGACGGGAAAATTCCCTGATCGAGAGATGCACTTACCATGTCTGTGACAAGCGGTATTATTGGATTCAGACACTTTTTCAGTAGCTTTGTTGGAATTGGATCCAGTTCGCATGATTTACTGGGTGCCTTCATCATTAGCGATCGTACTTCATCTTAGTGGTACGTTCAAAAGCAGCTAATAGAGGCCCATTATAGTGTATGTCTGTGTCTAAATAGCTGTCTCCTTTTTCTGTTTTTTGTTTAAGTGTCTCTCTTAAGTGTCTTTTTAGAACTGCCAGATCATTTGCAAGATTAATATGCAAGGCCAAGTACAGGTATGTCAATGGAGAACAAGCGAGCTGTACTTCAGTTACTAATACGTTACCAGTCATCTTTTGCAAGGTCTGACCGAGATTTAGGGAAAAGCCAACATCATTAAACACAAGATTAGTACTGGAGACAACTCACCTATCAAGCAATCTCCAAGGAGAATACCCGTGCATATGCAAAAAAAGGTGGACATGCATGATGATGATATGCTACAACGGAATATCACCGAGCCTTCAAATAGTCCATGGGCGTCCAATATTCTAGTAGTGTTAGTAAAGAAGAAAGACGGCACCACCAGATTTTGTATAGATACTAGTAACAGAAAGCTCAATAAAATTACGAAGCATAATGCATATCCTTTGCCAAGGATATATGATTCTCTTGATCAGCTTAGAGGTGCTACCTGGTTTTCTATGTTAGATTTACGGTATGTTCAGGGTATTGGCAGGTGGCCGTTGACTCTAAAAACAAGCAGAAAACAGCTTTCTTAACATGTATGAGTTTTCAGGGATGCCATTTGGCATGTGCAACGCACCTGCAACATTTGAACGTCTTATGGAAACAGTGCTGCGCGGTTTGCAATATGAAATCTGTCTTATTTATCTTTAATTATAGTCTTTGGAAAGAATTTTGAAGATATGATAGAAAATCTTTCAAGAGTTTTTGACCGTCTGGAAGAAGCAGGATTAAAACTAAACCCGGAAAAGTGTACCTTTTTTGCCAGACATGTTGAGTTTTTGGGCCATGATAAGACCAAAGCAATTCAGGATTGGAATACGTCTTCCAACATTACAGAAGTAAGATCCTTTATTTGTCTATGTAGTTATTATAGGAAGTTTGTCAAGGATTTTGCCTCTTTTGCAAAACCTTTGCATGACGACGTCAAAAGAGAAACCTTTAAATGCATGGACAGAGGAATTTCAGATTTCATTTGACAAGCTAAAACATATTCTGAATTTAGAATCAATTCTTGCACATCCAGATTTTGAAAAGGAATTCATCTTAGATACTGATGCGAGCTTTTTTAAGCCA